TCTGTATCTGAAATATGAAACCACAAATTGGAATTACAGGAGGAGAGAGAACTCAGAGGAAAAGCYGCAGCAAAAGCCAAAGTTCCAGAAAATAGAATGAGCCTCTTAAAATTTCCTTTTTTTTTTTTAACCTTGTGGAAAGGTTTGAATCTTTGGGAAGGGTGCACCAGCAATCAGGCTCAACACAAACATCAGCCACAACAGCTGRACAGACATCAGGCCATGGAGTGGGTAGGAGTTTTCCCAGTTCCCATTTATATCCCTGCAAAAGCTGTCAAGTCACTGAAGCTCCCAGCTGATTTCACCTTTCCAATGTAATTCCCTTTGCTCTGCTGCATTTTTATTTCATTGGGGCAGCTCAGCCTGGACCTGTGAAATCTATTTATTCTTTGGTTTTCACATTTACATTTTACCTAGAGCTGAGCTTAGTTTAGGTGTGCAGTTAATCTTGCTAAAGAACTAGACAGCTAAACAGTTTATTTCTCTTTTGACTATTCCATCAAATGTTACTGAGTCAGTTTTTTAGCAAGGATGTTGTGTTTTAACTTTCAAGCAGTGATATAAAAATTAATGGCAATTTGACAAAGGTTTTTTCAAGCACGGAAAGAAATTTAAGATGCTCCTTGGGGTCATGGCTATTCAAATGAAGAAACCTTGTCCTGGTGGAATATTTAAGGTGAGGCATAAATTGAGCCTCGCCCYGTTCCTTTTGGCAGGTGCTGGAATGGATTGAAGGGAAGGAGAGGAATATCAGAGCGCTGCTGTCCACCATGCACACGGTGCTGTGGGCAGGGGAGACCAAGTGGAAGCCTGTGAGTATGGCAGACCTGGTGACCCCAGAGCAGGTGAAGAAGGTGTACAGGCGGGCTGTGCTYGTCGTTCACCCTGACAAGGTAAGGCTGGGCTGTTTCTGCTCGGAGGAAACAGTATTGATTATGGATGGGAACGCTGAATTCATTGGTACAAACAGCTCTGTAGAGTGGGAACTCAAGATTTTTGCTGGTTTCTGAGAGCTGAGCACTCGAAACTCATCCCTGGAAGGGTTCAAGGCGAGGTTGGAGCGATCTGGGATAGTGGAAGGGGTTCTTGCCCATGGAATGAGATGTCTTTAAGGTCCCTCCCAACCCAAACCAGTCAGGGGTTCTGCAACCACTCCCAGCCCCAAAGCTGCGCTCAGAACCTGCTGTTCCAAGCAGATTTTGTCACCCTCACTSTGACTCAGCCACTGTGCTGGTGGGCAGCAGCCCCAGCATCATTCCTGCTAAAGGAGATTGAAATGCAGCTCCTCCCGTGGAACAATCAGGTTGTTTGATAGCCCAGCCTGTGGCTCATGGTCTGGCTGCTGCCACTCGCTGCCCAGAGAGCAACGACCCCATCTGGGACACCCCATGGGGAGGAGGAGCCTTCCACTCAGAAGGGAATGGAGGCCCTGAGTCTCCAGACTGGGAGGATGTGGGTGCCCAAGGTTTGCAGGAATACTGATTTTATGCAGGAATTGTGTCASGTGGCTGCTCTTCCCCTCAGTGCAGGGAAAATTCCTCCCCAAGGCCAAGGTTACATTTATTATTTACAAGATTACATTTGTTATGCCCATGAGACAGTGCTTTATCCCGCTCTGGGGATTGCCAGCTCTGAGGAGCAGCAAAGCCAAGAAATTCTTAAGCAAAGCAACTCTTCAGAATAGCTTATTTTTGTCAAGGAATAAGTGAAAATTCATGGAATTGCTTGGGAATCTGCTCACGTGCCCCCTGTGTGTGGCTGGATTGGAGAGCTCTGATATCCCTCTTTTCTCTCTGTTTTTATTCCAGGCTACTGGGCAGCCATATGAACAATATGCAAAGATGATATTTATGGAGTTAAACGATGCCTGGTCAGAATTTGAAAACCAAGGACAAAAACCCTTGTATTAGGTACTTTCTCAGTCTCCACTACAGACCCGTGCTAGTGCTTATATAGTCTCTTGTCACAAATGTCACAGATCAACCAAACTCTGGCTGGAAATTCAGAAGTTTCAGACCACTAAGAGCCTAATACTTATCAYGAAGAACAAGAGAAAGGTGTCCCAACACTTGTCTCCAGAATCCTGAGCTCAGAGGAACTCTGGCCACCTGGCTCRCCCTACCAGAGCCACGGGGTTACAGTTTCTGGTAACTTTTCTATTTCATTTTGGATTCCAGTGGGATGAAAGAGAACACATACCTGGGAAAAGGTGGAATCGGTCTGTCTCCAACAGTGTAGCTGATGAATTTCCTACCTTTTTTTTTTTTGTGTGAGATGTGATGTGGCAACACTTCAGTTGAGTTCAACAGCTGGTRGTGAGGCCCAAACTTCGATGTACCTTTTTTTTTCCTGGGTTTGGATCCAATAATCCAATGGAAGTGCTCAGCTGTGGTTTAGGCACACTCCTGACAGTCACCATTTGCTGCTTAATTGCTCATGTAGTGTAGTCTGCCTGGATAGAGCCAAAGCTGAATCCCGGGCTAGGTCAGTGTGGCAGCCGCCCGCTGCTTTTGCATTAATCCTGTGCTTCTCCTCCCAGTCCCGCAGTGAAATGTGCAGGCAAAATTCCTCAGCGAGAGCTTTTGAAAGCAAGCAACAAGTCCTCGATCAAACAGCAGCTTGTTGGTCTGTCAAACAGCAGTTTTGGGGGGAAGGGTGGGTGAGTCCAAGCCTGTTGAAGTGAGGAATGAGCGTGTGCTGCATTTCCCACGGCGTTCTCATCAGAAGCTCGAAGCCATCAAAGTAACACCAACTTCAAACTCTGCTGCAGAGTTTTARAAACTTCCCAGTCTCTAGGTAACACTTCCCCTCCCGAGGATTCAGAACTTTTTCCAGCCCACTTGTATCACCTTTATGCCTTTATCAGCTCCGGAGCACTTGGCCAAGGCTCTTGGCAGGCTGAAACCTGTTGCAGCTTCATTTTTCAGATCATGGTGTACAAGCTGTCACGTAGACAACCATCAGACCAGGTCTGATTTTTGAGGTCAATACAGTGCAAATTGAATTACTTTAAAAGTTTATATTGGACCAAAGCAATAACATCACGAGGAAATCTCTCTGCTGCTAAAGCAGCTTTCCTAGCTCAAAAGCGAGTTCAAATTCAAACTTCACCCCGAATTCTGGCGTTCTTTTGTCGAGTAACTAAAGCTGGCAGTTTCTTTACCAACACGTATCTGTATTTGAGGGATGCTCAGAAGATGGGCAGGAAATAATTTGTATTTTCCGCCTCAGGAACAGGTTGCCATCTGATGTGAGTCTTTAAGGCTGGTGGTTTTCCAAGACAATCCACTACTTGTTGCACTTACATTTCCAAGTGGCAAAGCTATTACTGCAGAGACAGTGTGTCAAAGTACATGGCTTTCTGTATAAAACCCATCCTTTTGTTGTATTGGTCCATTATTTACTGCCATTAACTGAAAATGTGAAACCAACACCTAGGTCTCCTTTTATATAAAAGACCTTAAGATAATAGTAACAAACTGGATGTTATTTATTAATGTTTTGATCCAGTATGTGCTTGTCTTATTTAAAGAGATAACTGGAATGTGAATCATGTTCCTGTGATTTGTTGGTTTATTGTTTCTCATTCACATTTGTAGATATTGTGACCTATGCCTATATAATAAAAAAGGATCTCATTACTATAATGTACTTTTTTTTAATGATGAAAAACCTCATTAGCTTTGTATCGAGTTTGTCATGGCACATAACTCCRGATACTCATCCATTCACAAAATACAAATCCATCATTAAACTTTACCAAAAAAAAAAACCAACCCAACCCTGCCCCACTTAAGCTTTGATTACTTCCATCCCTAATGTTTTTATGGATGCATGAAAGTATTAGGATGTATGTATATCCAAATAGTTAACTAAAAAAAAAAAAACAAAAACATTCTCGTCATATCTGGTAGTGACAGAGGTTATCAATGTTCAGGTTTACTGTTTGACTAAATTATTGTAATTTTTGTAAATACGGTATATACTCGATGAAATTGTGACTGGTCTAAAACATTTGTATATACATTAAAAAGCTCAAATTAACATATCCAGCTATGTTTTGTGCTTGTGACCCCAAGGTTATTATCCAAAGGTYGGTTTTTCAGGTGCTTTTCCCAAATTATTTGGAAACAGCTTGGCATTGCTGTTCTTAGGCTACGGTGCTTCAGAGACCCTCAGCCGAACAAGTAGCAAACCTAAAATTTTCACTTGAAGCACTTAGCTGCTTGAGCCTGTCTTAATGGGTTTTCTTGGCTCAAAGTTATTTAAAATTAACAATGAAAAATGCGGGAAAATGCAGATCAGGAAAGATATAAAATGAGAAGAGCTGAAGAGGACGGTATCTGAAGAAAAGCTCCCTGGGGAGGGCGATAAGGTTGTGCAAGATCTCCCTCCAGAATGTTTTTCTTGGGACAAAAATGCTGTTCTTGAGGCAAAAAGGCCATTCCTGAGGCAAAAAKGCAGTTCTTGGGTAAAGGAGGCAGTTCATTGGTCTTGAACGTTGTTCTTGGGGCAGAAAGGCTGTTCTTGGGGCAAAACTGGGATTTCAAAAACCCAAGGCTTGAAATTTTCTGCTTTAAAAGAAGATATGTTTTTCTCAGTGTGGATTAGCAGAAGGGTGGATAATGTAGGCCCTGAGGTGGGCATGAGGCACACGGGCACCCGGGCCCATTTTTTTGGGGTGAAAACTGAGGTTTTCAGGAGAACCCACAAAACCGCAGCGCCTGAGGGGCGGAGGGTCTTTAAAGCGGTCTGTATAGATTCGAACGGCGGCTGTGCACAAATATACATTTACTGCGCACACGTACACATTTACTGCCCACATACATACACTTTTGACACGGAYACAGCGCATAAAACAAACCCGGTCGTTTGTGAGGGCTCCGTGCGTTAAACGCCGCCCCGGAGCCGTCCCCTCACGAAGCCCCGCCCACTGTCGCGAGCGAGGGCGTGGCGGGAAAAGGCGCTCCCGTCCACCACCCGTTCTTTTAAAGGCTCGGTCACGTGACGCAAGAAAAGGGGCGGGGCCAGAGGGCGGAAATCGCGCGGTGCCAACGGAGCCCGGACATGGCGGGCGTGAAAGGTACCGGGGGCTCCCCGTGAGGGAGCGCCCCGGGCAGCGCCTCGGCGCGGGGGCGGGCGGCCGGGAATGGCGGGGAGGGATGCCCGGCAGCCGGGGAGGTGGTGCCCGGCCCTTGCCGCGGGATGCCTGGCCCCCGCTGAGGCGTTCCCGGTGCCCCGGAGCGATGCCCTCTGAGGCGTTCCCGGTGCCCGGTTGGGATGCCCCCTGAGGCGGTTCCCGGTGCCCCTGAGGGATGCCCACTGAGGCGGTTCCTGGTGCCCCGGAGCGATGTCCGCTGAGGCGTTCCCGGTGCCCCTGAGGGATGCCCTCTGAGGCGTTCCCGGTGCCCCTGAGGGATGCCCCCTGAGGCGGTTCCCGGTGCCCCCGGAGCGATGCCCCTGAGGCTGTTCCCGGTGCCCCAGAGGGATGCCCGCTGAGGCGGTTCCCGGTGCTCCCGGGAGTGATCCCCGCTGTAGCGGTTCCCGGTGTCCCGGGAGCGATGCCCGCTGAGGCGTTCCCGGTGCCCCTGAGGCGGTTCCCGGTGCTCCCGGGAGTGATGCCCGCTGAGGCGGTTCCCGGTGCCCCCTGATCCGTTCCCGGTGCCCCCTGAGGCGGTTCCCGGTGCCCCCTGAGGCGTTCCCGATGCCCGCTGAGGCGGTTCCCGGTGCCCCGGGAGCGAAGCCCGCTGAGGCGGTTCCCGGTGCCCCCGGAGGCGGTTCCCGGTGTCCCGGGAGTGATGCCCCTGAGGCGGTTCCCGGTGTCCCGGGAGCGATGCCCCCTGAGGCGGTTCCCGGTGCCCCCTGAGGCCGTTCCCGATGCCCGCTGAGGCGTTCCCGGTGCCCGGGAGGGATGCCCGCTGAGGCGGTTCCCGGTTCCCCCGGAGCGATGCCCCTGAGGCGGTTCCCGGTGCCCGCCTCACCGCCCGCCCTGTGCCGTTGCAGCTCTCGTGGCCCTGTCGTTCAGCGGAGCCATCGGGCTGACGTTCCTCATGCTGGGCTGCGCCCTGGAGTACTACGGGTGAGCGGGCCGGCGCCCTTGCAAAGCTTCTCCTGTTTAAAATCCATTAATTAAGGTGTTTCTCTCATTTAATTGAACTGTTTGGCTCCTCCGGCAAACCTCCGCTTCCAGGCTCTTGGCGCGTGGCAGTTTGTTGTGATTAAACATCACTTCCTTAGCCGATATTTGCATTTCCATTAAAAAAAAAAAGGCTGCAGGCAGCTCTGTGCTGCCTCAGGAARAGCAGTGCCACCTTGCTGAACAGGCGTTTTTAATCACACATAAATATTTTCCTTAATTTCCTGTTCCTTTGAGCAACTCTCCTCCCACAAGGTTCCATTTGGGATGTCCCCACCCATGGCAGGGGCTGGAACTGGATKAGCTTTGGGTTTCCTTCCAGCCCAAACTGTTCTGTCATTCCATGATTCCGTGTCTGGAACACTTTAAAAATTCCAAGGAGGCTCTTGAGAGCTCTGACACAGAGATGAGAGYGCAAGGGTGTGTCTTGCTGGCTGCTTTATCCCTCTAATTTGGGAAAGCCTCTCCTGTCCTTCTCCAGTGCATTTCCTGCTCCCTCTGTGGTGAGATCTGAATCAGCAAAATGATATAAAAGTCAGATAAATTAAAACTTGCTCATGTGAGAGATTGGAACCTGCTCCATCAGTAGAGGGAACACAAGGTGGAGTTGCCCCATGTTTTGTGATACCTTGTGGTTAATCCAATTCCAAGCCATAAAGTTGGATTAAAAGTGTTGCAATAACTTTCTGACTGAAATATCTCCTTTAACTGCTTACACATTTCTCGTTTCTCCCTCCCCAGAGTGTACTGGCCTCTGTTTGTGCTGATATTTTACTTCATCTGCCCCATTCCCCACTTCATCGCCAGGAGGGTGGGTGATGACACGGATGCAGCCAGCAGTGCCTGCAGGGAGCTGGCYTATTTCTTCACCACGGGAATTGTGGTTTCTGCCTTTGGATTTCCCATCATCCTTGCACGGGTGGAAGCAGTAAGTCTTTCCTCATTTTCATTCTCAGACACACTTACTGGATGTAATCTCTAAGTGCTCTGTAAATCCTGCTTTAATTTCATTATTGTGCTGTGAGAATCCACTGAAATTTCCTTTTTTTGATCTGAACAAAGGACTCATATGACTGAAAAGTTTTTAGCTGGATTTTTTTTTCCTTCCCCAGCCTTGTTTTGTCCAACACAAGATAATATCTCCTCTTCCACCTCATGCCTCTCTGTCTCATGACCTTTTGCACCACTTCTTGCTCTAGCTTCCTGTTTTTTTTTTATCTTGGCATATCTGCTTTCTCCACTTAGGATGCTGCAATCTCTGCCTTTCAAAGCACTTCCAAAGCTTTGTGCCTTCAAAGCCTAAAGAAACTCTGCCTGAGTTCTTTTCTCTTTGCCTTCTGAGCTCCTCTCCAGTGGGGAGATTTTGGTCACATTTGTTTAAAAGGCAAAGAACTCCCCTTGTCCTATGTCCCACCCACCCAGTGACATTTTCATGTGTCCTGTTGATTCTCCCCTTCACTTTCAATCCTTTAAAATTCACATACTTGCTCTGAATTAATTGTAAAACCCAAATTCTTTGATATTTTTATTTTGGGAGTTGTTTTCCTGGCAGCAGCAGAATGACCACGAGAGGGAACTCTCACTCATAGCTTTATTTTAAGAGTAAACGTTGCTTATCTGAGCAAATTTAGTTGTGCAGCTCATTTAAAAAAACTGTTTACTTTAAAATCTACATTCTCCATGCCTGTTACTTATTTAAAAGGAGACCTTTATATTTTGTTGCATGGCAATGAAAGAAGAGCCCTGATTTCACCAGATTTCTCTCTGATTTAGGTGTGGTTTAATGATTTGTAAGTTAAATCATGATTTTCCTCTAAATCCCACCAGTAGCTTGGCTGAAATGTTTTATTAGCAACATGAGTGGCTGCCAATTGAATAATTAGTGACACAGAATGAATTTTTGATTGTTTGCCTTTTCTGCTTTGAGCATCTTTCTGTAGTATTTTGTTTTTTTTCTGTAGTATTTTATTTTATTTTCTGTAGCATTTTGGTTTTTTTCTGTAGCATTTTGGTTTTTTTCTGTAGCATTTTGTTTTTTTTCTGTAGTATTTGGGATTTTTTCTGTAGTATTTTGGGGTTTTTTTCTGTAGTACTTTGTTTTTTTTCTGTAGTATTTTGGTTTTTTTTCCTGTGGTATTTTGGTTTTTTTCTGTATTATTGTGGGTTTTTTTCTGTATTATTTTGGGTTTTTTTCTGTAGTATTTTGGTTTTTTTCTGTAGTATTTTTTTTCTGTACTATTTTGGTGGGTTTTTTTTAGTGTTTTAGTCAATCTAATGCCTAGAAATAACTACCCTGAGCATCTCCTGGCCAGACCTTGCTTTGATTATTCCATTTCTTGCATTTCAGATCAAATGGGGAGCCTGTGGCCTGGTGCTGGCTGGCAATGCAGTCATTTTCCTGACCATTTTAGGCTTTTTCCTTGTGTTTGGCAGAGGAGATGACTTTAGCTGGGAGCAGTGGTAGAGCTGCCTGTGSTGCTGGTGATTTGGGATTTTTTCCTGCCCCTTTTGGGGGTGGATTTATAGATGCTATAATGTGTGTGGTGCCTATCCATTATTATCATTCATAACTTGCTTGTTTGAAATGCACTTCAGCCAAAGGGACAGTGCTGACAGTTGGCTTCAAGCAGTCACTAAAATCTATAATTATGGTGGATTTATCCTTGAAGAAGTTTACAAAACAGAAGTTTTACCCATTTTTTTCACTGTATTTGTGTTAATTTTTGGTTTAGTTGTGGTGTCATTGATCCATGTGGTATTGGCCACTACTCCTGTTGGTTTTTTAACCATATAATCAAAGAAAATATCAAAATTATCCTAATTGGAACTGTTCAACTGATCAATCTTTATGCCTTAATTAGGGATGAGTTACTATTTCCTTTATATCTCATTAATTGTMATTTGAGTGKTTTTTCTTGATGACATARAGCCAAACATAAMTTWTGTCAACTCTTACTCCTTAATGAAACCAAAAGAAAATCCTGGTTTAAAAAAAAATCCTGCCACTGATGTTTATTTAAAGAGAATTTTCTCCCCACAAAGATTCTCTGTGTCCCTTTCAGCTTAACAATTGTGGATATATTTGGGCAAAAATATATTTTAATGCATCTCCAAGCTGACATGACTTCTATGAAGGTTCACAAAAGGAGAAATTACCCCCAGGATGCTTAAAATCACAATTTAATGCTCAATTCTGTATTTTTATGGATGTGAATTGTAAAAAAATTCAGTGTTCTGGGTAGGATTTCTTATCTCTTCTTTGCTTTTAAAASACATTTATTCAACTCCTATTTTTTGTCTGTAAGAAGATTATTACATTAAAACACTATGTATTAAAATAGCATTATCCTGGAAAACATTCACATAATCACACTTAGAAAAATCAATTTTATTACTTTGGTTTTGTAAGAATAGAATGAAGGTTCAGTAATTAATGACATGAATACTCTGAAATCATTCTTTGGGCCAAGTTATGGAATGTGGCTCAAGTAGGAAGAGCAGATCAGGTTTGAGGAAGGTGAATTCCATGTTTTCAGTGGAATTTTTGTGAGGGAACAGTTCAGTGCTGGGTGTTTTATCCTGCAGAGTGTCCAGGTTTGCCAAAAGAGGTTTTGTCTCTTGCTAAAAGAGGAATTAACAGTGAAGGACAGGTTGTTTTTTTTTTTTCTGGATGTTAATGCTCCATCCAATTCATGGCAGGATAAACTTGTAAAGATCCTGGGAATAAACAAGTTATCCTAGCAGCTCCTTCCTGCTTTGAGGTGAAATTTGTTGGATCCTTCTCCTGGGGAAATGATTTGTTTTATTGATAAGCCAAGTTTTTCAGAGGAAACATCATTTCCACGTTTAAATCCTGCTTTGACTTTTAAAGAAATTGCCTTTTTTCCTCACACAGTGGCATTTTTCACTCAACTAATGAAGTAAAAGAATAAAACCAACCCCAGKCAGTGCCTGATAACAAATTCCTAATGCCATCACTAACAATTTTTATAACTCCTGTTGCACTCACAGGATTCACTCCATTTATGTACCAAAGGCTGCAACAAAATCTGCAAAACTTCTCAATTTCTTGGGAGGAAAAGCAGCTGAGATTGAATTTTTCCTTGGAATTCCTCCTCCTCTGTTGCAATGTGTGAGTTCTCTGTTTGCTGGTGGCACAGAGGGACAGGGCCAATGTCCAGGGACAATCTCAAGTGCCCAGGAGGAGCAGAAAGTGCTGTTTTTAAATTGCTTTTTGCCAAATTCTTCCATTGTACTGTATCCCCTTTGGGCTGTGGTTGGTGGGGACCTYGTGGGTGTTGAGTGGAGAAGGTCAATGCTTTTTTTTTTTATTATTATTATTATTATTCTTTAAAAGCAGCTACGTGCACTAATCCCTAATGTGAACTTTGTGCAGTTTTCACATGGACTTTACATTTAATGTTTAAAATCGTGTTTAACAGTGTTGAAATCATGGAGATCTCCCTTGACCTCTGTAAAAGGAAATTTGCTTCATTATCAAATATGGTAAAAATAATATTTTGGTGGGTTTTTCTCCAGAGCTTCCATCCCACAAAGCTCTGATGGGCTGGACTGGGAATTCTGTCCCATCCCTCCAGTTCTGGAATGGTTTTCCTTTGTGGAAGTGAATACTGTGTATCCAAAGTGCCTTAATTTCCACACCAGGCTGATTTTTGTGAATTCACCTCCATGGCAATGTCACTTTGTTCCATCATCAGCTGAAAATCYGTGGCTGCATTTCCCAAAGCTTCCCTGTCAACTCATCCCATTTCCTGGATTTGGGAATTCAGAGCAGCTTTTGTAACTTTTGTAAACTCTGTTTTTATCTTCTGTGATTGCCATATCCTTGGGATCATGAAGTATTAAAACATGGACATTCAGATATATTCTACTTTTCTTTCYGAGTTGCCTAATAAAACTGACTTTTGGAACTGTCTAATAAACATATCTGATGCTTGAATATTTGTCTGTCTTTAATTTTAAAAGGTGAAAAGAATGGTGTGAGAGAGAAGGTAAAACACATCCAGTGGTGTTTTTCTTTTCCCTCTTTTCCCTCAGAAAATTCTTAGAGAATGAGAAGAAGATTATTTTCAAAGTAAGACTCAACCCACGGCTTTCTTTAATGGAGTAATTTAWATGTAGTGACCATAATTGTGCAAAATTGCACATAATATTAATAATAAATACATATTATGCATGAGAATCAGCCTTGCTTTTGGATTTTTGCATTCAGGGAAGAATTCTGTGAAATCCTTTCATTGCTGGCTATGAAAAGGAAATATTTCAGATCTGTAGGTGCAGCAGCCCAGGTTTTGGGTTCTGAACCCTGATATTTTTTCAGCTCTTTGCCTGCCCACAGCAGAACTGGTGGAAATTCCCTGGTGCAAATTGCCTGTGTTCCATTTTTATATATTTTTATATATTTTTATATATTTTTATATATTTTTAATTGCACGTTTTCTTGGGGAACACCGATGAAATGAATTTCTCACTGTTGTGGAGTTAAAAAAATCAAGGCACAAATCATATTCAAGCTCAAGTTTTATATAATTTGAAATCCTTCAATGKGGAATAAAGTGCTGAGGCACAAACAGGGATCTGGGTGTCTCTGATGGGTTCAGGAGGTCATTTTATATTATCAATAATTTTAAATTTTGATTTATCACCTGCTTGGAGCTTCAGTTTTCCTACCCACTGACTTTTCTCAGTCTGTGTGAATAAATGGCAGATGCTGCTGTGATGTTTTGGTTTGCTCGAGGATTTGGGGACAAGTTCAAGGATATTTAAAGTGCTTTTTGAAGGAATTGTGGCAATAAGAGGATTGAGGGTGACATTTGGGTGTTTGTCCCTTCCTTGGGACTGTTTGATTTGCTGCTCTGCAATTTCCCAGTGTAACAGCAGCCTTTGTTCCCAGTTTAAAAAGGGGAAAAAAAATCCCCTTTACACCACCCAGAAACAAAAGCTGCAATAGTTGGTGATTTCTGGCTGCAGGACGAGTTTTCCCTTTGGGATTTTGGGATCAAGGAAGGATGAAAGGCAGTGGTGACCCCTTTAATCTGAGTCAGTGCTGGGGACAGCTGGTCCTTGGCTGAGGGGTTGGGAATTCTGACAAGGATGGGATTTGGATCCACAAATCCCTGCTGGAAACAGGCAGAGGATTCTGCAGCTTGTCCTTGTTCCTGGAACACAGCTCAGTGTCACCCTGGGTGGTTTTTTATCACCAGAGATTGCAGGGAGACTTTGGGATGTTGTAAAACACTCCAGAATGATAAAACMATTTCCCACAGAAAAAGCCTCCAAAGAAAACTCTGTTAACATCATCAGAAATGCAGAATATTTCTCATGCATATAGAAAATAAAATTTAAATCAGATTATCACTGGTCCAGAGCATGCTTTTCCCCATTCCCTTCAAGATTGCATTTGTAACAAACATTTTGCTGCTTCACAGATTTATTTTCTACTGCAGATTTTAATTTTCATGGATCTCTTTATAGGCAGAGATTAGAAACCATTTCAAAATGCTCGATCTTGGTCTGGGAGCTCAGAGGTGAGGAATGTGTGAAATTATTTAGGATTGAGCCAATATCCACAGTTGGGATTGGGATTTTTCCCTTCCCTTTGGACACCCAGGGATGAGCTCAGCTCTCTCTGTCCCTCTCTTGTTTTCCATGGGTTCTTCCCCATCCCTGATTTGTTCTGTTGGGTTTTCAATTCTGTTTGAGTTTTTTTTTTTTTAATAATCAAAGAACAATATCAAAATTATCCTAATTAAAACTATTCAACTGATCAATCTTTCTGCCTTAATTAGGGATGAGTTACCATTTCCTTTATATCTCATTAATTGTAATTTGAGTGTTTTTTCTTGATGACATAAAGCCAAACATAAGTTATGTCAACTCTTACTCCCTAATGAAAGCAAAATTATAAATAAAAGGGAATAAACAAATATATATTATTATATAGAAATAAATAAGAGATGATAAATAAATATTATAGATTTTATTAGAAATAAATAATAAATAGGAAAATTTTATTAGAAAAATAAATAGTAAATAATAAATAATAAAGGCTCTTTATATATATATATATTTATTACAAATAAGTAAATAAGTGGGAATAAATAAATATCCTATTATATATTTTGTTATAAATAAATAAGAGGGAATAAATAAATATTCTATTCTTTATTACAAATAATAAAGAAAAGGGAATACATAGATATTATATATTTTACTATAAATAAATAAATAAATAAGATAAATAAATATTATATATTTTATTATAAATAAATAAAATGCACTTAATGTGGCCTTTCTGCAGGGAATGGCTGTCCCAGGCAGMATAATGCAGCTGGAAAGAGCCATGGCAGATGTGTGATTTTGTCTCTTATTTAGGATTTTTTTTTCCCCTTTTAGGATGATTGGAGAAAAATTTTGTTCCCATTTTCTGAAYTCCCCTGCTCTAATGAAGAAATGGGGCATTTTTAAAAACCTTGATTGGTGATTTTGAAAAATCTTGAAGGCCCCTTCCACTCCCAACCATTCCATGATTTTCATTTATTGTGGGCAGCAGTAGATGGGATTTTTATTTCATGTTGGATGAAATTCATCTCTGAGATATAAACATTTAAACAAAATCCTCTTTCCAACCCCACAAAAGCGCCCTCAATTCAGATAAAACCACTCTTTCACTGGATATTTTTTCTGAGTCTGAATGCCACAAGCTGATTTTTTGACAGATTTAAATTGCTAAAACCCCTCRAATTTTAWTTTTTTTTTWWAAATGAATGYATTTATTCCGAACACCTTCTCATTTTTTCAGCATTTTGCACTGTGCCAGCTCTGTGTTGTGAGATCACATCGAAAAACCCACACGGTGCCAGTTTTTCTCAAGTGCTGCTGGAAATAGATTCCACCACCACCCCCGTC